TAGAGACAACCGTATACATCTATAGGATCTAGCGTGCGAGGGAATGTGAGATGAAATAAAATGTCTGCGAGACAATGAGATAAAATATGACATGAGATAGAATGCGAGAGAAAGAGGTATGTGTGCTTACGTGCACCTGCTTATAGTATCTGTTCAAATTGAAAACATTGAACTTGAATAATAAAATGTAAAAAAACCTTTTGCATTTGGTACCAATATTATGTAAATATACTTTATAATCAAATTAGTCCTGATACTGTATCGTTTCATTTTCTCGCAGTTTAATTTTCTGAGGGTTTCACTTCTGATGTTTTTAATAGTTTTTAAGAATAATATAATTTTTTTTTTCAAATAACTAAAAATGGATTAAATAATAAAAATAACAATGATTTTTTTAAATTGAATTATTACATGTAGAAAATTATATATTTGAAGCTTTTATTCGTAAAATTCTTGTAATACCGAAATGGCGGCATGATAAAAACACAAATGACAGGCACAAAGCGTAGCCTAGCCGTGAATGGCGCCAGTTGTACTAATTAAGCGACCTAAAGCGGAACATCTTCAGTATGATAAATACAATCTCTACAAATACATCTCGATGATCTAGGGTAAGTGAACCAAAGGTATCTCTAAATAACAAAAAATGGAACAATTTTTTTTTAATGAAGATCAATGGTGAGATTCGTTTTTTAAATTAAAATAACATAATGTTATTCTCACACAATTTTTTAAAATCATATCTGCTCGTTAAAAAAAGGTTGTGCAGTTTTAATAATGATTAATTGAATGGCTTCTTATTAAATAAGATTACAATTTGTAAGGCTTATGCCGTCAAACTAAACAGTACAACTTACGTAGCTAAAGATAAATAAATTTAGATGCATATTTTTGGTATTTACATAATCTTATATGGCATTATAAATACAAATAATGGGAATTTTTTTAAAATAATTTTGTAATGTATTTGTTACAAAAATACAACCAATATTTTTGATCTACACCTTTCTTGACATATTTATGAACAATTCAAAGAAAAAAAAATAAAATCAATAGACGGAAATACAAAACCGAGTTGTGCCAAAAATTATTTTACATTAGAATTTAGAAATTAATATTGTCTATGATTTTATGAACTTACGATTTTACAAATCCCATTTGAATTTCGTAAATTTTAGTTTCATCTAAGTTTTTGCCGCGTTATTTAAATATATAACGCCATTTTATAATATCCAAATATAATATAATCTTTATACTGTGCACAAATCAAAGGAAGTTCGTTTATCATTTATTTCTATGACGGTTATATAACATTGTATATAGTTTTGCAATTATGTAAGTAAACAGTGTTTTTAATTTAAGTTGCAACAGCAATGTTAAATTGAATATCGTGTCAATTAGCTGTTCCGTATTAATTAATAATTGTTTATATGTTTTTAAGAAGATTGAATCTCTAGCATAATATATATTTTAAAAATATAAGAACGTCACAATGTATTTACTTTTAAACTGTCATATTTTTAGTTTTTATAATTCAGAACTGACTTTTCAAATTGTCAATTTATTAAATCACTTAGAAGCAAAAGGTTCATATGGACATGACCTTAAGAATCATCTTTTTTGTTTTGTTTTGCTCCTTAGACTTTTTTATTCTATTACTTTTCGCACTTAAATCCAGCCAGTATGTAATTCTATATATATTAAGCAATTTAAACCTAGCACCTAAAAGTATTATGCAATGCAAAACGTACGCCAAGCGCTCGGTGCAATGGTCCTGACAGAGTTATATTTATTTAGTGTGTAAGGGATGGATCGAACAATAAACGATGTTAGTAATATATGATATGAAATATAAATAAATATGGATGCAATTACATTGTCTGTTATTTTATTTTTGTATTTATACTACCTGGTTGCTAATCTTAAATAGTGTACTAAACTGTAATCGGCAAACGAAGAAACGACTAAAGATTTATAGAACTCATTCCGAAATTATTTAATTTGAGTTCATAGCATTATCTTGATATTGATACCATGTAACTAATTAATCAGTAGTTAAGAAATGTTCAAGGTGCTTTAAAATGTTTTAAGTGTGGTCGGGCAGCTTGCATTTGCGTGATTAAAACCAAAGACAAATGGGTTCTAAAATGGTGTCGAAAACACGCATAAACTCAATCGTTTCTACCGCATGTACTTGCAAATTGTCTATCATTTTCAATAGTTTAGGTCACAAATTCCAACTTACTGCTGCAGCGGTGTAACTCTATCGAAGTTCGGCAATGGAGAAAGAAAGATAAAGAAACTGTAAAAAAAATAGAGTTCAAGAATATATACAGCATTTTGAAAACGCGCTAAAACACTGATTGCTGTTCTTTCGATAACGCACTGACACGACACACACACAGACACACACATATGTATATATATATATATATATATATATATATATATATATATATATATATATATATATATATATATATATATATATATGCGTTTATATGAATCAAAGTTCTCAAAATTGTTTCCCAAACGAGTGGTAAATTAATATTGTAATGATGTATTTCAAGTTACGTATAACGTATGAATTATAGAGATTTTTGAATTATTATGGTATGTAAACAACCGCGCTTGAGATAGATAAGAGACGTCTTATATTTTTTACTAAAAGAATAATTATTTTGCTCTATTATTCTTGATGTGCATAAAATAAGTAGGCCCAGAAGGTCCGCTTCATACCAAGCACGCCAAACGACGCACGCGCGCCGCCGGCTGAACAAAGGATTCCCAAACCATTCTAAACGTGTCATTTGCGACTGGCGCGCGAGAGGTAGTAGTGATGTTACGTTTAATTTTAAATCAAAAACAAAATTACTGTAATTAGGCAGAGCTATTACGATTGCTGCGTATCGGGATACCTAAATGACGCTATAAGTAGTGAATTTACTTTTTTTTAGTTACCTGTTGACATAAAAAGAAAATGATAAAAAAAACACTTGATGATTTTTTTTTTATTTTATAGATATTCAAACTCTGTTCCTTCAAATATTACCGTAGCACACAAATTAAATGTATGACTTATTTGTTTAGGATTGGCAATGTAATAATAATATAATCTACGCTGTACTGCCCATATTGATATATTGATTAAAGAAACTTTCTTTGGATGTAAGAAATACTTTTATCTTAAAAAATGATAGTCTGAGGTCGATACCTTTTTATAAAATTCATTAATAAAAAATATTCCGAAAGCAGTATTTTTATATATACAATACTCTTTTCGGGGTCGAAGGAGCTTATTTTATGAATTTTCCTCAACTCACAAATTAGTAAATAACTAAAAAAATATTAGTTAATGTTTTGATTTTTTATGCGAAAATTATGCTTGAAGTATAAGCTATATTAAGCTCCGTTGTCGTTTATGCGAATATAATTCTAATACTAATTCTATTTTAACATTGCAGAGCGAAAATAACAAAAAATACTGCTTCAAAACTCCTATTACCAATATACAATACTAAAGGGATCGTAGGAGTTTGGAGTAGAGTTTTTTGATGGGTAATTACATAAATTTTATTTTATTTTGAGAAATAATGGATCCAAACTTTGTACGATTTGTTGAATTAATAAAATTGAACTAATTCTGCCCTTCTTTAAAGTAAACTATATAAATTGTCAAATTTGAAAAATATCTTAGAATAATAAAAAAAACTGTCAATTTCTATGCCTTGTACCTGTTCTCCAGTTATCTATTGTAAAAAACTTTATTTAAGAATGACAATTTATAATGCCCTAAAATACGATATAGCAATAACAATATAAAATAGAATATAATAATGGCTGCAATCGTCGAAAGTTCTTTCCTATCACGAATATGAAGTGTAAAATAATTAAAAGTGCCTACTTTATCCATATTGATTTATTTTATTGTCTTGTATTGATTAATCTTATTTAAATAGAAAAAAACGCGACCAAAAATATAATTGTGCAAAAGTCGGCACCTCCAGCCCTAAGCGCTCGACCAAGTGTAGGTAATTAAAGTCGAGTATATGCAGAAGTGGTCCTTCTGGGTACATTTATTGTGTGCTATGAGCGTATTTCGCATTAGCACTTTCAGCTAATTTAGCACTGAATCTAATTCCTTTTCTACATGGATTTCTAAAGATGCTGATTCGAAAACTGTCAGCATGCAAATGTGATTGCTTCATACTAATGAAGATATAATTCTATTAAAGTTTTAACTGTATCAAAATAATATGCGACAAGATGATGCGATGAAATAAACAAGTGATGTAGATTTTTAAGATTGTCTGACATCTGTTGAATAATTTATATAGGAATTTGGGAGGACTTTGATTGAGTCCATACTTTTAGTGAGGAATTGGTTATCAATTAAAAAAAAAAAACTCATAATGTGGCCTTAGTGCAGCCGGTCGTAACAAACTTCCTTTTGCTGTATGTCAATATATTTTATGAATTGAATAATAATGAAATTAATTAAAACATTCGAAATTAATTAAATGAATAATAATATTTTAAGTGAATAAATGGTGAGAATTTTTTGTAAGTTGTAAAAAAACATTTTTTTTTATTAATTATTTAAAATTGTAAAAATAGCACTAAACAGCGCCATGTGTTTTATTTATTAAAGACTTTGGTAAGTTCGTCAATTTCCACATTATATTATAATGAAATCAATTATAAATGTCGCTTTCACATATTTGTATAAATATTTATTTAATGAAAGTTTAAAAGTGATTGTTTAATGAAAGTTGAAAACTGAAACAACCCAAGAATTTTATTTAATATTTTAGGAAAATAAAAGGGAATCGTTAATTATATACAAGCACATTGAAATAAATTAACAACCTTTGAATGTATTGAAACGAAAATACAACAAAAATAATGAAAGAATGGTAATAAAATATTGCAATAAAAATTATAATTAATATTTGATTATAAATTACCGTAAAAGGAATGCATCACTGAATTAAGCCCGTACCACCCGGTGTTCCCTGGCGATCACCCATCCAAATACTGACTGCGCCCGACGCTCCTTAACTTCAGTGTGATCGGACGAGAACCGGTGTATTCAGCGTGGTATAGACGTTAGTAAATAAATTATAAAAATATTAACTAAAAAGCAACAGCGGTCAGCATTTTTCGTTGCGGTTACTTCTTTTTTCACGCAGCTCCCATCCGCCGAACGCCTGAATATAAAGTGCGATACGAAATTTCGATCGATATAGGCAATGTAGACGACCTCCTATAGCACCGGCGCCGCCGAGAGGCTCCGCAGCGATAAAATAACACAAAGTACTTTCAAATAACTCAATGTAACTACGTGTTAAAACTATACCTACAGAAGTCTGATGATTACAAAGGCAACTAGCGAAAGAAACTTTTCAAACTTGATGATTATAGAAAAGGTGCTTTCTATCAGCAGTGTTGAAAACTTTGAAAGTGTTTGCAATAACGGCCATTTAATATGCTGATACTTTAAAGGAAATCGATTTACAAGATATTACAGCAAAAATTCGTATCGAAAACGCTGAAGAAACTTAACGTCTTAGAAAGATTATTGAATGTTTAAATAGTTTTATTTGTAGTTTTTTTGATGGACAGGTGTTAGATAATAATTTATAGCCAATCAACAAATAATTTATTGTACTTATTTTCCTATAATCACCATATTCGCAAATATTTCATAAATTGAATTACATTACATCACTATTTAAGCCTACGTGAGCCGCGAGACCTGCATTGCCTACAGGGACCTTTACATGGCTTAATTCAGCACCTATAGTGTTGTTATGAAATAAATTGTAGGTACAACTAGGACAACAATACGTATGAAACAAATAACAAAACTTGTGTTACAAAGAACAATTTTGCAAAGCAGAATGAATTGTTTGTTCTCCATGAGCTGATAACGCTTGAGGTTATACCGCCTGTACAGTGTGTGAGACCTACTTGGGATTTAATGACTTTGATAAGGCAATATTTTTACGGTTCGCTCCGAGCTCCGGTAATGAATTCTAGTGAATATTCGTACACTTCGGCGCACCACTTTATTGGGAAAACAAACTTCTAAATTAAACTTTCATATATGCACGAAATCAAACTTTTTTTCGCGTAAACGTTATAAAATAATCAAACAAATTCCTATGCCTACTGAATTTTAATCTTTATAAATTGTTGCACATTCACACGCAAGCGTGTATGTACATACCTCGATATAAATCCAGATTAACATAAATATGTTGAACAAATCAAATTCTCTTCAAAGATCTATTCAGTGACTAATTAGTTAGGTATTAAATGCGTTAAATATTTAATTAGTTAATTGCGAAGTAGTTAATTGTCACCTCATATAACTTCTTTTATATTACTAAAAAGTGGATGCTGATGAATCCATTTAATTATCTTTCCGTAAATATTAACCTTTTAAGTAGAAAATTTCTGTAGTATTTATTGCACTTTAATATTTCGTTCATAAACTTTTTATTGCTGTATTTTGTCTTTACGCATTATAAAGTTAATATATTAAGTTTACTACATATATATTATATGATCTCAATTTTTGTCCGTTTCAGTCAAAATTGTATATTTATATTTCATACATTCAACTTTTCTATTTTGTGCAGATGTAAATGTAATCCTATTCAACTAGCCTTTCGTCTCTATATAATTGGGTCTCTTAACACAACAGTAACTGTCAGGGATTCCTCGTCCTTAGTTTTAAAGTGGGGCAAGATATGTACGGCACATTTACACAGTAGGAAAATAATCTTATTAATTTTTGTCACATTGTATCTAATGACCGAGAGCATACCGTTAAAGTTCGAGTCGATAAGGTAAAATTTTAAAATAATTTTGGAATGTTAATATATAATAGATAACACAATGTGAAATATAATTGCATGACTATAGAAGTTTTTTTTGTACCTCGGCTTTCATTTATTTGTTTTACGTATTTTCATACCAATTTAAAATTACTGCCAAAAGTTAATGTCTTAGAAACTATGTATACTCAAATATTTTTGTACGCACTAAATTTTATCGGAATATAAAAGAAAGAAAAAATGCAACGAATAAGTGGATATAAAAGATTTCATAATGTTCATTACGATTTTATTTTCTGAAAAATGTATCACATTTTTATAATGCTTATTTAATTAATAACTTTCGTCCAGCCATAACTATAAGCCCTCTCCCCCCTCAACGCAGCCAAAGGCTTATCTTTAATAATCTAAATTTTGTAAGTTATTCTTTAAAAAGTTCCATTTAATCGATTCAACTAGAATTTTGCACACTCGCTCAGCGCTAGTGACAATATAATTTAAAGTGAGCTGTTATTTTCATTTTGACACAATATTTTGTATATTTATAATGTACGTTGATTTGTTCGCACAACTACTTCATGAAAATTCTTTTGAAATTTTTTACAAGTATTTGCAAGTTCAATTTTATAGTTTTTCAAACATATATTTTTCCTTGAAACGAATTCCTACTATTATGACTTGTTCTGTGGTGATTTATTAGCATCGTTCTGTGATACTGTATTATTTTAGAATGATGACTAAATTCCATAAAGGCCGCACTAAAATTGCAACAAATGTTACTTGTACTATTGTCTCTTACGGTAATAGAAATATGTTAAAAAGGGATAGGTATGCCGTCGCACATTTCGTCGTTTCGAAGGTTGTTAATCGTTTTCATTAAAACAGTGATGTGATTGTGTCGATTTCAATATCGATAAATAAAGGCAATATATATTTTTTAAACCTAGATTTTATTTATAGACTAAATGCAAATGCTTCTACATCCGTCAATCATTAAGTTGTTATTAGTAATTTCAAAACAAAAACTTGAAAATTATATTTTTATTCTAATATCGCGTGGTGTTTAATTAGATTAATACACGAATACTACGCCTTATTTTCATTTTGTCTGAAGCGACTAAAAAAAAATGGCGTTTATTTTCTACAGTTACAGGTAACTGACAACTCGTAACTAACTTGCGTATTAATAATAAAGTTGAGAACTTCAGATCTATTGTATTGTTAAAAGTTAGAACCAAAAAAGTTTGAACAGAAAAATGAAAATAATCAATAATGGAATAAAATAATAAATGATTACTATAATATTATCCATCACAAGCATATTTCATTATATGCATACTGACATCACACATAAAAAAATTACAAGGATTTTTTGCTTCCGTTCACTCATTTTTCGTCACTTCCAAATTTAAAACAAAGAGTAATTTTAAAACCGGCCAAGTTCGTGTCAGACTCTTGAACCGAAGGTTCGGTACTACAACACTATATGTTTGTTTTAAATACTTATAGTAAATTATTTTCATTCATTCATTTGCAGATTTTTAGCACGAGCCCCACTCATTTTTGGCCAATTTTCATTTGTTTCATCGAGTTTGCACTGAATCACACCTTATTTTACGCTTATATGCATTACTGTTTTTACAATAAAGCAACAATAAACTGATCACATTAAGTATGTACTCACTCACTTAGTGACTGTCAGTTTATATTGAAGTTGCAACAAACAAAAGCGGAGCGAAGTTTAAACTTCTTAAGGAGTGAAGAACTATTTTCTGTATTTTTTCAATATTTTAGGCGCAGTATTTTCAAAGATAAAGGGAACTAATTAATTTTCTTAAATAAAAGTATAAAACCGTTTACTTTAAAATTATAAAAACAATATGTTACATGCTGTACTGTACAATATGATTTTGTCTATGTTTTTTGCATTTTTTTGATTAAATAATATTTTTTTCTAATATATTCCCCAAAAGCGATGATCATGTTTAATTTTTTTTTTATTTACTTCATTGTTCGTATAATGCATATCAAATGTCAACTTATTTGATCCCGTAGTTTCAGAGTAAATCGGCTATGACAGATGAGCAGACACACGAGTGGTTTTATAAAAGTTCCGGTTTTTTTTTACGGATGGAGTTCCGTACCTTCCAATATGAGAAAGGAAAAATGAGAAGTTTTCTACGCAATATAAGAGATATAAGAAAAAATTAGTACCCTTTGCCTTGATAGACGGCGCTGCTATAAAATCAGATTTCAAAATAAGTAACACTGTTTACATCTGGTTTTATTGTTTTTTTAATTAATCATTTTTAATTGTTTTAAAATATATATTGAAAATATTAAACCTAGTATTTTCCAAGATATGGCACTTCCCTATTCGTTTTGTCATAGTTTCCAAATTTGTTTATGCTCATACAATTTTTGGAAAAAATATATTAATACAAAGTATATTGAAATGTATAAGAAGTAAAATAAACTTCTTTTAAAAAAAGCTATGAAGTTGCACTAATTTATCGTACTTCAATTGGGAAAAAACTGTTCTTTTCGTTGATAAGAAACTGATAAAGCAAAGCTTAATAAAGATCGGTTAAGATAAATTTTAGACATCAATACTCTAACTTTTATTGACTTCGTAGTGAATTTTATAGGCATACAGAATAATTGTTATTATCCAAAAGTTCATAAAAGACTGTCTGGAATAACAGATTATGGATATTTGAAGTAAAATATGCAGATTGTTATGATTTGCTTAAAAAAACAAATAACATGAATAATGTTGAAAAGAAAATTCGTCCAAAACTGTAATGTTAGATGCAGCAAAAGTGAATATATACAAATACATGAAAAAAATACCAATTCACCTTCCAAGAAGCGAAAAATATCATAACTACTATATGTCAGAGCATACATATGTCAGATGAAAAAGCTATTAGAAAACGAATAGCAGACTGCTTTCACTATAATATTGTTATTTCAACTAAATAACATTATGTATTTCAAAAAAATCTTTCAAATAAATAAAATCGAACTAACTTCGATATGGATAAAAATGTAAAATGCTAAAACAAATAAATATTTTATTAGTAACTTTGTCTCATATCCGAGACCATTAAGTATGTCCTAAGAAATTGAAAAAAAAAAAATGCAAAGGCAACACATAATAAATAATTTCAACGAAAATTATTTTGAACATAAGGAGATATACCGCTTTTGAGTTATTGCCAAAAGTCTGCGCTTTTCAACAAAAGGACGTAAGTGCCTTTAAG